AAAAGGATATTTCTCAGTGAGTTTTGAAATCTTGCTTGCTATATCCCCCTTGATAGACTTCTCTGTGTCTTTTTCCATATACTCGAGGAGTTTGTCACAAATGACTTTTACATTTACAGAGTTGCACATCCTGTACAGAAGTTCTAAAGTCTGAAAAAAAAGAAAAAAAAATTAATATATGACATAGAACTTGAGGAAGATGGAAGTGGGGAAGAGAATAACATATTTAACACATATATGAAGAAGAGAACATTTCTTTGTTTTACCAAGAAAAAAATCTCAAATACTAAAAAAAAATATATATATATGAATCAGGGTCTGCAAGAAAGAAAATATAAAAATCCAACACTTCATGAATAAAAAAAACATGATAACATGAAGACTATGGGCCTGTTCAGAACCAAGTAAACCCGCAGACTAACCGAACCACTGACCAAACATAGCCCACCCACTTGATAGCTTGCTGCATTAACCCCAAATGGATTCCCATCAGGGATTACACGGCAAGCTTTCAAGTGGGTTGGCCATAATTGATCCATGATTCTGAACAGACCCTATGAATAGTATTTACCTTGGCTCTGATGGTATGATCAGGATCTTCAAGACACTCTATCACTGTCATCTGATGGTCCAGGGCATGTTGTGGGGCGACCTGGATTACTTTGGTCAGTGCTTTTATGCCTGAATAAAAAAAATTATGCCCCTTTTTTTATAATTGAAAGAATGAGCTTACAATATGTTTGATAGATAAAAAAAATAAAAATTTTGTACATTTTACACATTAAATTTTAGTATTTTATTTACCAACTTTAACAATAACATTTTGTACATTTTACAAATTGAATTTTAGTGTTTTTCTTACCAACTTTAAAGATAACAATGTCATATGTGTCTGTCATCTGTATTTATTTACTATCACATTTCTTTTGGGGACCTTTATTGCAATTCATTCAGGTTCTGCTAGAAGCGACCAGTGAACTCTTACCTAAGTACCTCAGATTATTGGCCTTTGACCTCAGGAACTTCCCAGTGCATTTTGCAGCATACTCTAGCAGCCTGGTATCTGGACTTATGCTGGTTATTGTTAATATACATTCATATACCACACCTGCAAGATGGCAAAATTTAAAATATTTACAACCCCAGAAATACGTTAATTTGTATATGCCTAACCAATTACCATACAATTTTAATCTCACCATAGTTAAATAATCATGTCCATCATGCAGATTACCTTTTTAATTACACAGTAAACATACAATCTCATTGTGTCCAAGCATACATATATATAAAAGCAGCCTTAAACTTGTATATAACAATCAAGTTCTATAATGTGTTTGTAGTTGATCTCCTAATTAAATATAAATAAATCTCATACTTTCCAGAATGAAGGAGATATAGAGACTTCTACAGATTTGAGTCTAAAATCAGTCACCAGAAAACCAAAGTTATGCACCATTATTTAAAATGCTTAAAATGCAATAATAGTAAAGTGCAATCATTCTTTCTTCAAGATTAAACCTGCATCTAAATACTTGTAATTTATTTAAATGAGGTATCTAAAGCAGGTTGTTATTGATTACTTGTGCTTCAATCTTTCATTTTTTAGATAAGTACAGACTGAGAAGAGGATTTTAATTATATTAAAATATATGGAAGCTTTCATAAAATATAAGAAAAAACTACTTTTTCAGGAAATTGACATTGTAACATAAAAGGCCTCACCAAACGTGATGTTTTGATTAGATTCACTTCTTTGTAGCACTTCTGCAAGGACTGGATGTATCACCCTGCTTATCCTACAAGTAAAATGTCTTATTTGAAATATTGTTGTAAATAAAATTTATTGTCACAGATCTCTCCAAAAATGTTGGCATTTTCTATAAAATAAATATTTCAATAAAACAGTAACCTGATGTATTAAAACTTAATCTTTAGTGTAAAAAAACATGGGATAGGATCAAACTGTTTTGAAACTGAAATAACTGGACTATCAGGAAGTACAGTTTAAAGTGAGATTATCTATTTATTTATATCAATCTTATCCCTAAATGACCTACAGCTTGCAAACCTTGACTACATAACCAAGGAATAACTGTACAGATATAAAACAAGGCAGAAAAAAAAGGGAAAAAAGTCCTGAGTCATACTTTTGTTGGTCTTTTCCCAGTAAAGCTAGCACCTGTAGGAGTTTAATCTGCAGCCATGGAGCAGGAACATGGTGATATTCATAGTCTGCTGGAAGTTTTCTGCTCACTACTTGCTGTAAAATGGAGACCAGGCTCTGAGTGATGTCCTGATACTCACTGGGACTGTGCTACAAGAAAATGAACACAAAAGCAAAAAATTGAATGTAAAACTGTGAATATCTGATATAAAAAAAAGTGTCCATCACTCTCAGAATAAAAATGTGACAAATTTTTAAATAATACACTTTTCAATACTCGTTTCTTCATTTCAAAATACATTTGCTGAATTTCAAATCTGACATAATATTATTCTTTGAACACAACTACTTTGTACATATATTACATGTATCACATTTGGTAAAAAATTGTAATTTTCTCAAATGTAAAAAAGTTATGAAACAATCATATTTGAAGGATATAACTTCTTTAATAGTATTCTATTTGGTTACCTTAATGAGGTCATGATATATGTGAAGGGCAGACCACATGACTCCAGGGTCTTTGTCACATAGCGCCTCCTTAAAACTGTGGTGGATATGTTGAACAGAATTGGGGGCCATCCTGTGAAACTTGAACAGGCAAAGGACTGCCTTCTTGCGAATAATCTCTCTATAATGCAATGTAGTAAAAAAGGGTTTATGAATAAATCCATTCCGTGTGTGCATCTATAAACTGAAAAGCATTATAATATGGAGATAATGAACATTTTTTTTTATTTTCCAATCCTTAACACCTTTACTTTCTAAGTCTCTACCAGATATCTACTTCTTAGTTCTACATCAGGCTGGGTATAGGTTAGTCATAGTCATAGAGTTCCGACTATGAATAACCTGTACCCAGCCTGAACTTGCCATTACTGTTCATCTTTCTACTAGCACAGTAAAAAATCACATTAACATGCTAATGTAGATCTAAGAAGTATCCAGTAGAGATTTAGAAAGTAAGGGTGTTAAGGATTGAAAAATAAAAAGTTTGGGTGTAAAGAATGGAAAGCTTACACAAAGACTATGACACTCAGGGTCCATATGTTCACTGGCCTTAGATGTAATAAACATTTGTAAATTCTCTCTGGGGGATTTTGAAACTGATGCCTGGTCTTTGAAGTGTTGTCAATCTCATGCAACTGGATTCTACACCCTATATTTGTCAGAATTTCTAATCAATGTTTATCATTATAAATAAATTCTCAAGGAAAAATGGCAAAATGGCACATTTAAGATGAGTTTCAAGTGATTCAAATTAGGTCACTCACTTCTGATGCTTTAATTTTTCTTGTACAAAGGGAAGTATAGCAGGTATCATCTCTGTATTCACCAATGAACATGTGGCTGTCAATGCCATGCAAACATCCATGATGTTACTGCTGTTGATATCCTGAAATTTAAACCACATCAAACAATTAAAATCACACTCATCTATGTTAGGAAAGTTTACATGTGCAACTCTTAATTCTTGTCTTTTTAAAAAAACATTCTTATATACCAATGCAATAAACTGCAAATTGCATTTTCTCTTTACATACCCTTCGAGTTAAAAAAATTACTACAATTTATCGTAAACTGCATTTATACAACCAAGAAAATGCTGTGTATGTATGAACCCACTTTAAATCACATTATGCATGTGTATTCCTGAGTTTGGAACTTGACTGAGTGATGTTTGTTGTGTACTAACAAAAATTCATATTCTGCACCAAAATCCTGGTGATGAATTGCTTCACTTCAGTTGTGTATCTCTCAAAAACTTATATTCTGAAAACTATATCCCACTATGTGAAAAGTGCCCTAAAGTAGTTCATTACCTTTTGGATTGTATTGATGAGTAGCAGCACCAACTCATGGTTTTCATGAAGGAATAATGTGCAAGCTAAGTAACCTGAAGAATAATTAAAAGATTGTATTGTAAGTCAGAACCATGACTATTATTCTTTAAGATGAATGAATTGCAAATATTTCACATAAGATATATTTTTAATGAAAAGAATACTTTGTACATTGTAAAAAAGGAACCAATCATATACTTAAAATATATATATATAGGGAAATGTTTTACCACTGAGCACATACAAGAAAACTGTAGACTCACTGAAAATCACTTTAATATCTTAAGAAATTTACAAATAAATGCCTGTTAAATCATTTTACCCATTCTTTTATAAGCAAGAGTTCCCTGCTGTGCCAATTTCACTGCACTAATATACCCGAAAGAGACATCATAGCCTAAGACATGAGCAAACAGGAGGCGAACCAGACAATCTGCTTGCTGAGCCTGAAAATACAAAAACAGATCACAAGTCATAAAATTCTTATTACTTCTTAATAATAATAATAATAATAATAATAATAATAATAATAATAATAGTAGTGGAATAAAGTTGTATCTTTTTGAATATTATAATTATAGGAAATACCAGGAAAAGTTGCTGCTATAGATAATGTATTAATCGTTATATATTAAACAAAGTACAGAGACATAAAGCTTTCTGCTAAGATTGAAAGAAATGTGTGTAATGTGCACCTGACAAATGTGAACTAACTTTTCAATGGTTGTCTAGCTTATTAGTACTGCCAATTGCATTTCATTTTACATGGGCACCAAATAAATTCAGAAAAATGCAGCAAAGAATTTCACCAGCTGTGTAATGTTACAATAACAGTTTCATGAACACTGAAATATAATGAAATATTGCAGTGGTTATATCTCTAAGTTTAGCTGTTGCTATAAGAAACTAATCATAACTATAAGTGTCACTACACAAAATGCTAACATAATTATACCTGTGTAATATTTGGTTGTGCTAATCGTTGTTTGACTAAAGTAAGTTCCCTTTTCACAACTTGTTCTTCTTCCTGAAAAAAATATATAGTAGATCAATGTGAACAGCTTAAGGATAGAAGATCTATACATGCATCTATACAGTCGGAGAATAGCTGTAAAGCTAATGTTTCCATTCAATTTGTAACCGACATGAAATAAAATTTATTGTATTGTATTGTATGCATGATTTAATAATTAGGTTGTTAATTATTACTGCCACATTCCTATCAGCTGTTGAGAATTAAAGCCCAAAATATCACTAGTGTGAAAAACCAGAAGAACCCGTAAAATCATATTCGAACTCACATATTTTGAGGTCAATGAACAGACTTTGTGTACAAACGATGGAAAGCCCTGGACATGGATTGGGGAGCCTGCAGTGATCGTCGTCAAGCCCCCACTAATAAGTCCAGGGATTGCTGCAAATGCTTTCTCCACGGCGTCAGACATCATCTAACTTTGTCCAAATCCATACTTATTACTTCATAGCCATTTGCATTCGGTAAACGAGGCACACGGCAGCGGAACATTAGTTCTCATTGCTAAGGAGTCCCCTCTTGTGAGTAAATCGGTTGCTAGTGGATTATCCATTTCTAAGTCGAAACGAGGCTGTGATTCAGCGCGATATTTGTGACTTGCTGTTATATAGATTATAATTTAGTTGTTTTGATCTTTTTGTAATGGCAGGGGCGGTGAAACAAATACAGAAAGACGAGGACTTTCAGCTAGAACTGAAAAATGCAGGTACCAAACTGGTGGTAGTTGATTTCTTTGCCACATGGTAAGTGTTTTGCATCCGGCCGGTACAATCCTATCCTCACTCCGTTGTATTTTGTTTTGTGCCTATTGCTTTCTTCGCATAGATATCTCTGGTGTAAATAACGGCGTGTTGCTGCCGTTTATTAATTATGTTTTGTAATAGTATCCTCAATTTTAAACATTGTTTTATTCACAAAATTGTCCTTTGTCACTGATATGAATAATAAAGAAAAAAAAAATACTTATGGGACTTAAAAAATCCTTTGTATTTTATTTGTAATTTTTGTAGGTGTGGGCCGTGTAGGAATATTGCTCCGATAGTGGAACAGTTGGCAGTAAAGTATCCCAATGCCGTGTTTTTAAAGGTGGATGTAGACGTGTGCCAGGTAGGTTTGTGAAAGAAAAGAAAATCACAGGTTTCATACATGTATTTATTTAACATTGGGAAATTGTAGGTCCCAGATAGTGTATTAAGTAGATTATGATTAATAATTTTGAAACTTTTTTCTTATTATTTTCCCCACATTGTCACACCTTTCTGCCATTCAGTGCCTTGTTTAGAATTTTTTCAATAATTTTTAACTATATTCCATTTTTATTTCGTCTTTATACAATGCTAATGTATATTATTCATTTATGTTACTTGATCAAGGATCACCTTTATATTTAATGTACAGAGTACTATTTAATTGAATGCTGCATTTCATTATGCTTCTTTAAATTACCAAATGATTGATTAATGTTGTCAATCATCCAATAGAATGATAATATGGATAACTCTGATACTGGAACTTTTATTTAGCAATAATTTATCATATTTAGACTGGTTTCTTATTTTTAAGATATAAAAATAATGTGTTAAAGACAGTTCTTAATTTTTTTTACAGGAAACTGCAGCCAGAAATGGCATCTCTGCTATGCCAACATTTATATTTTTCAAAAGTCAGGCTAAAATTGACAGCCAGAAAGGTGCGGATCCTGCAGGTTTAGAGGAAAAGATCAAGAAGTGGTATGGTGGAGATTCAGAAAATGGAGAAGGGGAAGATACTACAGTACAGGGCCATGTAAGACATTTCATAATCTACTTATGACTTAGGTTTACTTTTTAAGACTTTAACAAACACAGAAGGAAGGCAAGCTTGTCTTTAACAGAACTGTAATAGAACAGTGGTATTACTGATCAAAGTACATTTTGGCTTTGGCAAACTTGAGAAAACAGTTTTATTAGCTCTGTTTACAAGTTAATGTAAAACATGAAAAATATTCGTCTGAATCTTATCAAGTGCTGCATGAAATTGTAAGGTATTACCTCCAATAACAACCCTGATCACTTACTCCATGATGAAAGTGGCTGACAACTGCAGACATTTGCGAGGTGATACTGCGCAATTTCTTATTGCTCATGACAAGAATAAACTAAATGCTATTCATGATTTACCTATGGCAACTTTATTTGCAGATTGATTTGTCATCGTTCTTTATGAAAGGTGGTTGCGAATGTCTTAATGAATCAGATGACCATCCATTCTCAGACTTATTGTCAGGCAGTGGTCATCTTGAGTCCGACTGTGATGAACAGGTAGGAAGAATTTGCCTTTATGTGTGAGATAATATACTGTCACCCATGGGATATATGCTAGAACACCTCCAGCGTCAACAATTGTGTTAAGAGCATATGTTACAGAAGAGTGGCAGTGTATTATTTGACATACATAGCGAGAGAAAGTCTCACATTTCACTGAGAAAACAGCTCTAGAGCAGAATAAAGCATATATATCCCCATGGTCACATAACATCTCTTAGACTAGGTATGTTTTGCACAATCTGTAATTTACAGTAATTTAATATGGTTAAATATTGGTAAACTTGGTTAAATTGTTCTATGAGGCATTGAATGTTGTCTATACGTAGTAATAAAATTATTATTATTTTTCACAGCTGATTATTGCTGGGGAATTTTCACAACCAGTGAAACTGCATTCTTTCAAGCTATATGGGCCTTCAGGTAAGTAGTCTTTTAAACAGATTATTCTAGAAGAGGAATTGTTACACAGTCATGTCTGTCTTCCCTGTCATGAACTGCTTTTAATAGTTCTTTTATTAAAATGCATGCCATCGCAGGTTTATTGATATAACCTAGAATACAAGACAGTCTTGATGTAGTATATATGGCGGTAATGCTTTATAGCCAGGTTGCTTTTAAATTATCTTTCTGCTTTGAATTTTTCTCTTACTATAATAATATTTTGTTCAGCTATGGTCTTGAGAAAATGAAGCATTTTATAGAGCTTTGTACATTATATAAATAGTGCCATTCTCAAAAAGTTCTTGAAGGTGCTTGTAAGTTACTGATTTTTATTTTGCCTCTTATAAATATTTTTTCTAAATTATATTTTAGATAAGGGGCCAAAGAATGTTAAAATCTTTATAAATCAACCAAAAACAATGGACTTTGATTCTGCAGAAAGTATGGAGCCAGTGCAATCTTTCGAGTAAGTCAAAAACAAGAAAACTTTGAAAAGACAATTAGTCCAATATTATGAAAATTATGTTAAGCATTATTAGTGCATCATCATTTTGATTTTAACTCAAAAAGCATTTTTGCATTATGAGAGGTAAAAAGAATTCCAAAGAATGCATTTCATTGAAGTTCAGAAATGAATTATGCACTTTGTATCTTCAGACTGACACCAGATGACATAAAAGAAGGCGGCATTGTAAATCTAAGATATGTCAAGTATCAGAATGTGCAAAATTTAACGGTAAGTTCAATACAACTTTTATACATATTTTTAAAATATGCTTCTCATCTTAGTTTTTGTTATGATGACCTTAATATCCCGTAGCTCTGCAATTAAAAAAAAAGAAATAGTCAAAAAGGGGTGAATAGTCTTGTATAACACAACTGTTCATTGTTAAATTAATTTGGCAGTAAAACAATTTACTAGATATTGTGATAATTTTAACATAAACAATGGCGCAGTTGTCATAGAAATCCATTAAAGAACTTGAAACACAAACATTTTGGATATTTTGCCTGCATCATTTTTCATCATTGATTTTCAGATATTTATCAAGGATAACCAGGCAGGTACAGAAGTCACTCAAGTAGATGCTTTCACAGTCTATGGAACACCTGTTGGCAAAACTGATATGGCAGCTTTTAAGAGGGTGAGTGTGTGCTGCAAGACTAAGTGTAATTTTACAATTGATTTTCCGAGTGTTACAACTTTTGGGCACTTTTAGACATTCATAACATTGAGTTTCAAAGTCAGAGATATCTAATAGATACCTGTTTTAAAGCCTTTTTTTTATTTCTGAGTAAACAGTACATTCAATCATTGCAGTTACACTTCTCATAAAAGTACAGTATGAGCATTCGTTTTGCTTTTGTAACTTGTGATATGCTTTTGAAATATGAGATTATATTATCTAAAAAGATAAGAGGAAGATGTAAAAGATTAAAAAGCCTTTTCACTATCCCTTTGTAAAAGTTTTCTCTGTAAAGCACTACGTTGACATGTTTTACTTGCTCACATTGCACTGAAATTACGCAGTTTTTTTTTCTTTTTTTTTTCCTTCGTATTTAAATATTTTGGCTTGCTCAATTAAATCGTAACCTTTTAAAATGCTAAATATTCCAGGTGGCTGGTAAAAAGGGAGAGAGTCACTGACCAGCTAAATGGACAATGCAAGAGCGGTATACAATTTGACACAAGCATCACTATTACCACATTTCACAGGAGGTACATTTGGATCTGACAGTATTCATATCTCATGATAACTTCCACTGGTCTGTCATTCTGACCTTGTTTTATGCATATATTATCATCATTTCATGTGGATTTATACAGGGATGAACATAATTGTGACTGTGTTTATTTTGAGTGTAAAAGTGAAACAAAAATGGCATTGATTTGGTGAGTGACATTATTTTGTTTATTGACAAGACATTCTTTATGCCAATCAGAATTTATAAAAAGAATTGATTGATATTGTAATAACTCTGAAAATAAAGTAATTTTTATTCATTTGTCTACATATGGTTGAAATGTACATTTCCTTTCAATAAATTGGAAAGATGAGTGGTAAAACTAGTTTCATTTAACTACTTAAAATCTATTCGGTGTGGTTGATTTAAAGACCTGATTTTGAAACTGGGCTGTTTGGATCAGTTTCTTTGTCATAATATGACTCCATGTGCCTTCATTTTATTAGACATGTGACAACATGAACATTTTCACCCATTTTAAAGAACGGAACACACTTGAATTCAATTGTCAGTGATTATTTTATGAGAGGATTAAAGGTTCAGGAACATTTCTGAGTACTGTTTTATTCAACACCAGTTATTTAAAATTTAAAGTAATTAGCTCAAATTAGAGGCTGTTTATAAATTTTAACAATTTCAATTTGAAATGAGTCTATTTATGCAGAGAGCATTACACACACACACACACACACACACACACACACATACACACACACACAGAGAGAGAAGGAGAAAATTGAAAAGCCATGCTTGTGATTTGTGTACAAAGGGTAAGATGACATAAGGTCATTCATTCATTCAACATGTGATGTTGAATAATCACTTATCCCTGCCCATCAAGTAATTCCATTACGTATTACACTGTAGCATAGATATTCTGTTTCACATTTATGAAAAGCATTTTTTCTATAGAAAATGCAGATTTATACAAATTTTTTCTTTTGTGCAACATAACAATAGAGTATTTTATATTTACCAAATTTGTTTATTACTTTTCAGGTGTATATTTTGTTGACAAACCCACAAAAATATCTTCGATTTTCCATATTTTTTCCTGTAGATCCCACAATGATATTTTGAAATATCGAATGGCACTTTAAAAAACTCTAAAGTAAAATGTCATATTTTTTGTACAAAGTCCACACAAAGCAAATGCATGAAGGGTACTTATGAAGACGATATGACAGGTTGATTTCAGTAGAGTGGTCCTCCCTCAGGTTGTAGTTCTTGACCTTAAACCCCTTTTGATAACCGATTGACAAGAATGTCAGCATCAGCAGTGTCTTCAAAAATGTGTGATTCACATTAAAATAGATTCAAATAACTGCAGCCTCTGATATTTGTATAAACTACATGCCTAGGACCAGAAGACGTTCCCACTGATTCAGGTATCATATGGTGTCAGGCACTGTAGTCTTCTTACTGATATGGGTTGTGTAGGGTGCCGTTAACAGTCGGTACTGTACCTACTACTATCTGTTGTGGGTGGTGTATGTACGTAGTTGAAATGATAAAGTATTGAAATTTCCTGACCGAATCAGAATTCTAAAAATGTCGACTGGTTCTTAACATCCAAATGGCAATTCCCGAATTAAAATGAAATAAAAAATAAAAAAAAAAAAGAGAGAGAGAGAAAAAGAAAATTACTTAAGACTTAGTAAAAGTAAATTAATTTAAAAGTAGGTTGACATACTGACAACTAGATAGCAATTGTTTTATGGTTTAATTATATTTTCAACCTTTTCAGATAACAAAGTGCTCTCATAGCAATTGACGAAGGATATTGAATCTGTGAATTAGATTAGATTTTTAGCACCATACATTAATTAATCATATTCTTTGCTAACCAAAAGGTGTATATACATTGGATCTAACCAATATAACGCCTTAAACCCTGCAGCATTTCAATAGTATTACATATTATCAAAATGGGGTGGCTATCAAACAAATCCCTTGACCTGTTGCTTCATCAATGATAAATGTTTGTTCAGGACTGATAAGTTGTGATAACAATTAGCTCTTAGGTTAGGCGCCCATGGCTTTCGGAGGGTCTAATTCTGCACCTTTGGACTAGGGGGTGTGTGTGTGACAGACATGAGACCATCTTGAGTGCCAGTTGCAGCAATTCAAGACCAGGGTAAGTAAGGGGAATAATCTTTGTTTTACTAGAAATGAAAAAAATTACAGATTAGATAAGAGAAAGTTTTTAAATATACATGCGCCTTCTTTGTTGTTGTAGTTAGTATATGTAGGTTACTGAAAGACTTGGCTGTTATCAAGGCATGTCGGCAATAATCTTACTAAAAGTTATTTGATATAATTGAAATAACTGAGGAAACCATTACCTCAGAAATTATATATGAATGCTGGGCAAACTAATCTGTATTTTGCCCTATCAGTGAGTTGGAAATGAGGTTTGCAACGCGTAAATTTTTGTTTGATTTGGCACTCCTAAATACTCCGTGTCATATGGAAAACAGAAAATGTCTTATGAAAATGATATTCCTGTTCACTGTTTTTCAGAATCATCATGAAGTTGTTGTGGCCATTGTTTTGTCTTTCCATATCATGGTCAGTATGCCGTGGACAGACGCCAGACACGTCTGTGTGTGATCCTAATGCTAACACAGGTACTTGCAATTGGGTTATTCAATAGACATTACAGTATTTGCATTTTTGTTATTATTTCTTCTCTGGTATGATTTTCATTTTTGCTTCTGCCAATTGCAGGAAATTTGTTTTGGTTTGAACTGGGAGAATTTAGGGAGTTTTACTTGCTTTCACAAGCTACTTTTCTTTTGCCATCATGACAGAAATGAAAATGCATACATCTAATGTCTAAAATCTCTCTAACAACATTATATCATATGCTTTTTTTTAGTGATATTGTCATTTTATTGTTAAAGTTTTCTATGAATTTTAGAAATTATATAAGTGACATTGAGATAATAATGGTATACACCATAAAATGATTCATTATTATTATTATTATTATTATTATCATCATCTCAGGTCCTCCCAGCCCCCCTATTCCTGATCTGCCAGACTCCTGGCATGTTAGGGTGGAGTGCAATTTCGTAGACAAGAACAGAACAGTGGAAGTTGAAGAGTACTATGATAACACAGGAAACAGGGGGAAGATCACAGAGTATGAGATTGGTATAGGAGTAGAAGCCATCTACAGTTATGCTACCAATGAATTGATTCTTGTAGTACCCCAGACAGAGGTTGGCAACTCAGGTAGGAAGACAGGAATACCTTACCTTATGAAAAAGTCCTATAGGATCCTATAAGAATCCATTAGGATCCTATAAGATCCTATAGGATTCTATAGGAAATTTCCTATAGGATCTTATAGGATCCTTTAGGACTTTTTCGTTAGGATTAACACCCTGAATTTCAAATGATGACTATAAGTGGATTCAAAACAGTGGACTTACAGATCCGCGGATCAAATATGGCGACCCACTAAAAAGCTTGCTGCTTAATTCAGGATTAGACACTGAATAGATTTTTGGTGGGAATTACACAATAAGCATTCAAGAGGGTTGCAAATATTTGATCCGTGGATCTGTTAGTCCACTGTTCTGAATGAATGTTAGTCCACTGTTCTAAAACTAAATGAAGTCATTCAGTCATTCAAAGTCAATAAAGCATGGAGATTACTCAACTCAGTTTATGCTTCATATGTAAATGATATCTTCATTTACATAATCTGCTTACTAAAATAAAAAAAAGATAAAGCTGATATAACAGAATGTTTTTCTTATCATTGACAGGTTCAATATAATTTATGTGATATGATAAGAAATATTATTAGGTTACACCTCACTTATACTTTCATTTGATTTTGCATTCTACATTTTAGAGAGGTTTATAGTTCTCAAAAATTTGGAAAATAGTCTCACCTTACCTCCAGCAAATCATCCATAATTATTTCTCAATTTAAAATAAAATTTGCAGTATTCATTTTATTTTAGGTCCAGGCAGAAATTGTCAAATTCAGCCCATCAGCTCAAGTGACAACAACTTTCTGTTTGGCTACAATGGTGGTCACATATTTTCCACCAAGTCGGTCCTCACATTTGGTGGGGGCAAGAATGCCCAATATTTAGGCAAAGACAAAGTGCGAGGTATCATTGTGAACACGTGGCAAGGTTGCGTTTATTTACAGCAACAGCAAATGACAGCTAATGTCACCTGGTATTTTACAGGTAAGGCAATGGCACTGACAGATCTTGAATTTTAGAAAGTGAGATTGGGGGAGGAGGGGGGGGGGGACAGAGGTAGTTTTTGCATTGTGAAGTGAGGTAAATATAGAATAGTATATGAAAACAATTTGGCTGTAATGTGTTTTTATATGGCACAGGTATGAAAATATTTTATTATTAAGAGGTGCAATTAAAATACTGTTTCTCTATAATGCCAATATCTTAATAGAAGGGATAGCAAAATAGATGTTTCAAAAAACAATTCCATGTATCATTTTAATTGTTTCCCACAATGTTTTTTTGAATTCCAGACAAAAGCAGTTGGACAATGGCCATAGGAGCTGAGGAACTCCCAGTACGCATAACAACAAAAGGCACTGTGGTTAAAAATGGCCAGAGTGTACCATTCGATCACATATATGATTTTGTGAATTTTCAGCCGGCTGGAGTTTTTCCATTTGGAGATGAAGTATTTCAGGTAAAATTCACATTCATCTCATTCGTTTTGTTTGTTTGCCTGTCATTATTGCTTTTTAATTTTGTATATTTTATATTAATTCTCCTTTTATATTCATCTACGAATCCTGATTGTTATCCAGTTATTATATATTTGACTCATTAGTATAAAAATAATAGTTAAAGTCAAACTCAGTGAAAACTATATTTGTTCAGACTCCACCAGGGGTCGTTTGTGCAGGCAGGAAAGGAACCAAACCCCTACCTAAAATGCCAAGCTTCTTCAGTTTTACAGTAGAAGCTATACAGAAAAATTCTCAGACCTATNTGTCTAAAATCTCTCTAACAACATTATATCATATGCTTTTTTTTAGTGATATTGTCATTTTATTGTTAAAGTTTTCTATGAATTTTAGAAATTATATAAGTGACATTGAGATAATAATGGTATACACCATAAAATGATTCATTATTATTATTATTATTATTATCATCATCTCAGGTCCTCCCAGCCCCCCTATTCCTGATCTGCCAGACTCTTGGCATGTTAGGGTGGAGTGCAATTTCGTAGACAAGAACAGAACAGTGGAAGTTGAAGAGTACTATGATAACACAGGAAACAGGGGGAAGATCACAGAGTATGAGATTGGTATAGGAGTAGAAGCCATCTACAGTTATGCTACCAATGAATTGATTCTTGTAGTACCCCAGACAGAGGTTGGCAACTCAGGTAGGAAGACAGGAATACCTTACCTTATGAAAAAGTCCTATAGGATCCTATAAGAATCCATTAGGATCCTATAAGATCCTATAGGATTCTATAGGAAATTTCCTATAGGATCTTATAGGATCCTTTAGGACTTTTTCGTTAGGATTAACACCCTGAATTTCAAATGATGACTATAAGTGGATTCAAAACAGTGGACTTACAGATCCGCGGATCAAATATGGCGACCCACTAAAAAGCTTGCTGCTTAATTCAGGATTAGACACTGAATAGATTTTTGGTGGGAATTACACAATAAGCATTCAAGAGGGTTGCAAATATTTGATCCGTGGATCTGTTAGTCCACTGTTCTGAATGAATGTTAGTCCACTGTTCTAAAACTAAATGAAGTCATTCAGTCATTCAAAGTCAATAAAGCATGGAGATTACTCAACTCAGTTTATGCTTCATATGTAAATGATATCTTCATTTACATAATCTGCTTACTAAAATAAAAAAAAGATAAAGCTGATATAACAGAATGTTTTTCTTATCATTGACAGGTTCAATATAATTTATGTGATATGATAAGAAATATTATTAGGTTACACCTCACTTATACTTTCATTTGATTTTGCATTCTACATTTTAGAGAGGTTTATAGTTCTCAAAAATTTGGAAAATAGTCTCACCTTACCTCCAGCAAATCATCCATAATTATTTCTCAATTTAAAATAAAATTTGCAGTATTCATTTTATTTTAGGTCCAGGCAGAAATTGTCAAATTCAGCCCATCAGCTCAAGTGACAACAACTTTCTGTTTGGCTACAATGGTGGTCACATATTTTCCACCAAGTCGGTCCTCACATTTGGTGGGGGCAAGAATGCCCAATATTTAGGCAAAGACAAAGTGCGAGGTATCATTGTGAACACGTGGCAAGGTTGCGTTTATTTACAGCAACAGCAAATGACAGCTAATGTCACCTGGTATTTTACAGGTAAGGCAATGGCACTGACAGATCTTGAATTTTAGAAAGTGAGATTGGGGGAGGAGGGGGGGGGGGACAGAGGTAGTTTTTGCATTGTGAAGTGAGGTAAATATAGAATAGTATATGAAAACAATTTGGCTGTAATGTGTTTTTATATGGCACAGGTATGAAAATATTTTATTATTAAGAGGTGCAATTAAAATACTGTTTCTCTATAATGCCAATATCTTAATAGAAGGGATAGCAAAATAGATGTTTCAAAAAACAATTCCATGTATCATTTTAATTGTTTCCCACAATGTTTTTTTGAATTCCAGACAAAAGCAGTTGGACAATGGCCATAGGAGCTGAGGAACTCCCAGTACGCATAACAACAAAAGGCACTGTGGTTAAAAATGGCCAGAGTGTACCATTCGATCACATATATGATTTTGTGAATTTTCAGCCGGCTGGAGTTTTTCCATTTGGAGATGAAGTATTTCAGGTAAAATTCACATTCATCTCATTCGTTTTGTTTGTTTGCCTGTCATTATTGCTTTTTAATTTTGTATATTTTATATTAATTCTCCTTTTATATTCACCTACGAATCCTGAATGTTATCCAGGTATTATATATTTGACTCATTAGTATAAAAATAATAGTTAAAGTCAAACTGAGTGAAAACTATATATCTTCAGACTCCACCAGGAGTTGTTTGTGCAGGCAGGAAAGGAACCAAACCGTTACCTAAAATGCCAAGCTTCTTCAGTTTTACAGTAGAAGCTATACAGAAAAATTCTCAGACCTATTCTTATATCAAGGTAAGTCATGTAAAGCAATTTCAATTGTATTGTCATGTCTTATGGCTTTTGTCTCATGATCAGGAATTAGAGTAGCTTATTTTTTGTGTAAGTCAGTTTTTCCCAAGTTGGTGACATACTGAATATTTGACATTGTTTTATTCAAAAAGATTGTGTATTCTCTAAGTACACTAGTCAGAGCACACTCAAAAAAGAAATTTCCTAGATTAATTAGTAAAGAGAAATTCCACGTAAAATAATAGATTGCATTTGTCTCCACCTATTAAGAATATATATATAATTTCACATTTCACATCAATTAATAAATAAATTTGTAGGAGTACTATGATTACAATGCTCAAATTGTGAGGTATGACTATCGAGACTTACCAGTAGGGGACATGGACGGTGGCAACCCTCTCTCAGAAATACATGATTTCAACACTGGTAGGAAAAAGTGTGTTGTATAAATAACAAACAAAAACATAATAAACTTCAAGTCCAGCTCTTTATTCATTTCAAAAATTTCAGTTTTCAACTTATAAAGTGCTTTTCGTTAATATATCTCAGTTTAAGAGTTACCTTAATGTTTATCATTTATTTTTTTACGAATTTTTCAAGGCCAATTAAATTCTCAAGTTTTTGCCCTACTAGCTATTTTAATTATTGTCGTGCTGTATTTGTCTTGATTTTAGGGGTGCGCTATATAAAAGATCTGTTTCAAGGCAGCTGTTCTTTAGACATCTTAGACCCATCTGGATTTGATGCAAAAAGTGCCGGCCCCTCCACTGTGCGAATCCGATCCCCCAGTGAATTCTTTGGTTTCAGTGATCCCAAGAGTAATTTCACCTACACGGGCAAGGTATGCTATGATCTGACCGCTGTCATTCTGTTTCCTTTTTACCTGGTACAATATACAATATTGGGAACATGTTCACAGCCAGCTTTATCTTGATCAAAAAAAGACTAACTGATGTCACCGCATCACTTGTTTGAAATCTTATGTTGTGTGATGTTTGAAGATATTGATGTACATTTCCAATCAAGTAAGTCCCCAGGTTGGAAATGTCCAGCAAATGTCCTAAATCATCCACTCACATGGATTAGGTAAATAAGTTTGCTGCATTATGGATTATCTTTTTTTAGAAGTATTACATTCTAAAGTAGCATTTATGCTAATTTAATCGACAAGAATTTGGGCATCAGTTATATCTTAAAAAAAAAAAAAAAACATGAAGTAAATATGTACAAAAAATAAAGAAGAAAGATTCAGATGATACGAAACTGTAATATTTGCAAAATGATAATGTAAAATGTGAAAAAAGTTGTCAAGATTTTGCCCTCCTTTGCAGAGAAAAGTCCGTGACATTGATGCTGATGTGTGGATTGGTGTGAGACAAGACTGGCCTACAGGGCTTAACTTTACTTCTTACTGGGAGTGGTCCTTTGCTCAGGTTTGCCAACATAATAACATATAGACATATGTAGATTTTTTTATGTATAAGATACTTTGCAGGGTGTGCTTATGTTGATTTTAACCTGTGGATGTGGTTATATGTAGATAATACTTATTTGATGTACTACAGAGTGGAAAAAGCAGAATTAACCATTTTAGAATCACAATAAAGCAGCCTGTTTCAGGTTGAAATTCAGTCACAGTAATAATCTACCTTTATTGGGATGAGGAAGTACCAAGACATTGTCACAGAAAGATGACATTCAAAGAGAAAATTAACACATTTCTACAGTAATATGAATATTTCTCTAACAAAGATTTTGTACTAAAGTGGAATATAAGAACATTCAAATCTACTATTTTATTTTAACAGACCAACTGGACTCAGTACAGTGGAAAACTTGCTGAAGGTGGAGAACCAATTAGAATGGAAGTTAATATCTTGGTGAGGATGGTTGACAGAATTAAATAAAATGGATACATTTCGACACTCTTTATGATGCAGATAAAAGTTTTTACATTATTAATGTGTATATATGTATATATATGTGTATATGTATATATATGTGTATATATCATGCAAAGTGTTTATCTTGGTTACATTTTTGAGGTAGCATATGTAATAATCTTAGATGTTTAGATTGGTTATGTTTGTTGTTTTTTTTAGGAGGATCCTTCTACTAGCATTATCTACAACATACTTGACTTCAATGAGGAGGAGCCTTCTTTATTGCTGTTTGACGTGGGTGTATGTTACACTGGCCTGAAACACGCCAGGATACAGTTTGCATTCCCAGGTTAGAAGTGTGTAAAGAAATTAGATATTACTTGTAGCAATTAGTCTTTCTTCATAGATATTCTTTTAGTTGCCCCTGTAATGTATTATATAATGTTATTTGTTTTAATTGTTGATAACTCAGTGAAAAATATATTTCTTCAGACTCCACCAGGGATAACACACACAGACACACACACACGCATGCATGCACGCACACACACACACACACACACACACACACACACACACACAAACACACTGGGCAGTTTGTGTAACATTTTACAACAGTGCTTTTCAACTTTTTACATAGTCACACTTCCTTAAGGAATTTCATTTTAAAAAATTGTGTTTTGAACATTGTGTAATGTTTTCACTGCCTTATGTTTAGGATCTTATTATGACCTTGTGCAGAAGTCAAACTTGGCAAACTTCCAGTATGCTGTCATGGTCAGCCTGATAGGGACTGCCACTGTGTCCCCTCTCCGTATCGATAATCTTCAGGTAAGACCAGACAAAATTGAAAAGATGATTATCCAGCTTTTTTTTTTTTTTGGATGGGGGAGGGGTGGGGTGGGGTTGTAAAATCCATAATGTAAGTCTGTTGTCTGCATAAGAACATAAGTTAAGAGCATAAGTTGTCTTAGGGTCAGTTTTAGTTTTATTTTCTCAATTTGCCAAACCAATGCCCAATTGATGCATTTTTTTTTTCATTTGAAAAAGTGCTAAAACCATTAATGCCGGCATTATGATTTCCTGTAAATCAGGGACTATACTGTTGTAACATGAAAATCTGACTCCCCCAGTCATGACAGTCTTTGTCATGCTATACCTAAATATCTACCTTGCATGGTCAGCTAGTTGGTGTCTCAGCTGTTGTGATACTTAACATACCCGTTTAAATGTTAAATAGAGCTAATTATTTTGACTGGATATTTAAAGACCTAAACATGAGTGATTTTTTGGTAAGAGTGAAGATTGTTCAGTCAAGGTACGATTATTTATTTATATCAAGTTCAAATGTTAATACTTTTTCTAATCTGATTATTTTCTTATTCTTTGACAAAGTGTTATAACATGAACTTTCATATATATTATCATGTATACAAATTCATCTTACTTCCAGGTTGATTTTGATGGTGAAAACATAATGGTCACTTTCCGCATGCTGGACAAGGCTCCTATTAAGGGAGATGTGGTCATGAAAGTTCAAGAGGTGGACTTGGATGTTGCAGTGTCCTTGCTGACCACTGCCATAAGCAAAGGCACTTTTACAGTTCTTATTGACACTGACACCCTTGGAAATGTAAGTCATTTAATTTAATGTGAAATATTTTTTATATATTTTAATTCATTTTTTTTTTAATTTGAAATATTTTATGTGTTGCTATACATTATTTATTAATTGCATGTGATTGAAGCATTATTTTTATAAGTTTTATTTACTTTAACATGTGCTTACTCAGTTAAATACATATTCAAAAATGTTAATGCTGATTTTGTGTTAGCAACTGTAACAGATGTGTTGACATTGTTAAACAATGTCACCATGTAACAATGTTTTTGTACAAAAAATCATATTTCAGTCCAAATATATTTCAGTCCAAATTTATAATGATGATATGTTTTATTATCCTTTGCTGGATTACAGTCCAGGCTAATTGCACCAATAATTAGCAGTCTGAAAGTCAGTTGGGTCAATCTTGGTCCTGACCTCAAACCTCCAGCTGGTGAGACTTATCTTTATATTAATGTTGAATTGCCTTAAATTCTTTAATTCCCAGTAAAGGGGAATAAAAGCAGCACTTCTTGTGTGTATGATATTTGTAAAACATTGATGAGGAAGAGTTTTTCTGTTTGGGAGTTATATTTGATGGATGTTGTAATTTTCAAGATTCTGTTGAATTTGGTGAATTACAAAAAAAAACTTCATGTTTATTTCTAGTAAATTATATATATATATATTAATGATATGCTGGAGAATCTGTGACATGTTTCCGTTTTAGGTGGAGATACAACTGTCTGCGATGCCAGTGCCGTTAATGCAAATGCAGGTATATAATTAACAACATGTGTGTGTGTGCGTGTGTGTGTGTGTGTGAGTGAGAGAGAGATGAGCTTGGATATCATATGGAAAATAAGGGAAAATGACTTAAAAGCTGAACTTATGTATGAAAAGACTTATGGAATAGAGGGAATACATTAGGTTGTTAAAATTTAGAAAAAATTGAAATTGAGTTAGTCTATTTATGAGTGTCAGAAATGTGTTTTTAGGTGTGTAACTTTTTCACTATACAATTCGACATATATTCTTAATTGTACAATGTTTATATGGAAAAAAGCTCAATTAAAATACTGAATAAACTAGCACATAAATATACTTTTTATTTTCAACTCAGGTCCACCACTTCCTACTTTACCAAACAGATTCAGTACCACAGTCCAGTGTAATTTCCTCAACCGCAACAAAACCATTGATGTGGTCGAGTACTATGACTTTGATGCCAACAAGGGTGTCATGTATGAGTACTCATTTGATGACAAATTACAGGCCATCTTCAGTTATGACACTAATGAGCTCATCGTGGCATTGGAGCGTGATGGTGAGTGACACAAAATTCTGTGATTTTCCTTTTGTTGACATAAAAAGTTCGGAACACCAACTGAATTTGCAGATAAGATGAAAAAATTTGTGATGTAAATTATTTGTAAGAGCACTTGATAAAATTAAACATGAGAATTTAACTAAGAGTATAAAATTCAGTACTAGTAAGCTCTTGCAATAAAATGAAAATTCAAGTATAACTTCTAAGAAGTAGAGCTCAAGTGTCAGTCAATTTCTTTTCAGGAATATGCACAGTTCAGGCCTTGAATACCTCCCAAGAGCTTTTCATCTTTGGCTACAATAAAACAGGTGGCTCACACGCCCATATATTGTCTGTGACATCTGTATTGCGGTTCGGGGGTAACAACAAGGTGGAATATCTAGGAAAAACCACCGTGAGAGGAATTCTAGTGGACCACTGGTATTCCTGTATTTATTTCCCAGAACTGAGGGGGACCATGAGAGTGGATTGGTACTTTTCAGGTAAGTGGGTCAATTTTCATCTCGTGGATTTTATTTCTCCACAAAGTTTTTGTTTGGTTAAATATATATATATATTTATTATGGCAAGAACATCAGTACATTACCATATAATTGCAAAGTGCAATTAATATGGGAACTTTTGCAATGTACACATGTACATAACTTTGGTAGTTATTAGGTTTATCAAAGTATAAAGTAACACCCCATATATATAGAATTAGTTTTTTGTGTATATAGAGTTAGTTTTTTGTGTTGTGGAAGGTATCTTAAAAACAAAGACACATTATATGGAGAACCATACTTGAACATGGACAGTCTCTCTCTCTCTCTCTCTCTCTCTCTCTCTCTCTCTCTATATATATATATATATATATATATATTTTAGCAATTGGTTTTAGTAATTGGTTTCTCTCTTACACATAAAACAGGAATGTTTACAACGTAAAGGAGAACTTTCAACATATATTTGACTTTCTCTCATATATATCAGCCATGATGACCATCAAATATCTGAGTGTGCTAATGCCATTTGAACATACTATATATCTGCACTTTCTTCATGGTGTTTTTATTAACTTATGAATGTTTTTATTCCCTGGTATCAAATACTCACTTATCCATTTGTTGCGTAGTGTGCCACAAAACTGATTTGAAGCGCAAAATCCCGTGATCTCTACTTAAAGGGGTGGCACCCTCCTTGTTTTGCCATAGACAGGGCAATAAAAAAACTAAACATTGGTTATTAATTTTCTTTTTCTAGTGTGGTATAAATTAAATAGTCTCCAATTTGCACTTACTCTTAATGGAACCCATGGGATATATAAACATGACTTGTGAAGCATGCAATAGAGCTGCTGCTAATGGAAATGTAAAAAATTACATTTAATATTCTGTGAAACCTAAAGGCGCAAATTAATGGTTAATTTTTTGTCCACTATTACTTTCTGCATACTAGCTACAGTAATTGAAAAAAAATGACAACCCTTTTTCTTTTTCACAGTAAGAGCTCCCCATGTTTGGTCTTTTCGAAGCAGAATGATAGTGCAGAATGCTATATAATTCAATAAGCACATTTAAGACCCTGCCTCAAGAACTGGCACATGGCTTATTGATTTCTTATAAAATTACAAGTTACTATAAATTCAAAGTCAAAATCAAAATCTTTAGTATTATTATTATTATTATTATTATTATTAAAACTGATATTATTTAAAGAACAGGTAAATGTACGACATCATAAAGTTTTTTCTATTGATTCATCTGAATAATGTGTATTAGTCAGGTCAAGATCTAATTTCATTTGTAAAACAGAAATAACTGCATACTTTTATTGTCACTTTGACGTTGTCTGCACATTTACCTGATTGATAATGCTTTTAAGACATTTCATGTCTTTCGTCAAAACTCTTTGGCCTGTTGGCATCAGAATAGACAATCAATAACACTACACTAGTGATTTCTCTAAACTAGAATATCTTACTAAATATTTGTCCCAGAGCAAATTTAAGAGATTCTTTCTTGTTGATGTCTGAGTAAAATCAAATGTTGATTTTATATTCATAATCAAATTCAAAATCTATTGTATTTGGAATTGGGATTTTTGTTGCATATTTCTATGTCAGTTACTGGCACCATTACATTTAGTAAAATGTAATACAGGATTTGAGTTTATTCTTGCTAAAAAAAAAAAATGATACACTCAAGGTATGTTGGAGAAGATTAGTAAAGAAATGAAATAAAACTATAGATGGTGGGTGTGTCTAGATATACCCATATCAGTGCTATCTCATACACATTTTACTGATTTGTTTCCTGTCTCTGTTTCCATAACAGCTCAGTTTAAATGGGGCCAAAAGGTTCTGTTGAAATACATTAGCATGAAAGCCTCCTTCTATTCCCTAAATTACATTTTACTTGTTAAAGTAGCAAATAAAGTAGTGGTATGTCATTCCGATGATTCATTGTTAATCATTTGAGGACTGTATTAGCAGATACATTTTAATTCAAGAGCAATTTCTAAATTGGTGCATCACACAATAGCGAAGAATCTGAGAATTTGTTGCTTGATTTTGTCGTGCTATCATGTGCTATCCACACAGTAAAAATGATAAATGAACTTCAAGGCAAATATAGGGAAATGTATTTGGCTTTTTATTTTTTGAAGTGGGCAAAGAACAAAACATTATTTTTCGTAAAGTTCCAGTAAAGAAAATAAAGGAGAGTGAGTTTCTATGCCTTGCTTTTACATGTAACATTCGCAGTTCAGGCTCTGGTCAAAATTTGTATAATTTTTATGCTGATATATTTATACTGTATATACTGTATATGTGGTTAATAATAGTATATATAAAAATCTGTAAACCTTAAGCTCAATAGAAGTTATTTCAAAAAAAAGTTTTTTTTGAAAGATTTAATTTCTGTTTTGAATTTAATTAATGTGCTCTAATATAAAATAATATAGTATATTTTCAAAAACTTCTTTGTTTCTATTTCATATTTTTAATGTATTCTCATTCCCTATGTATGAAATCCCAGGTGGGCCAACTCAAAACACTTGTTTTTACTTATTTTAGGATATGCATTGTCACTGTTGTTCTCTTACAGAAAAGAAAAGGAAAGTTCCTTCTAAAACCTTATCCCAGGTTTTTTAAAAATAGAAATGTACCAAAAGCAAGATACTTGTTGTACAATTTATTCCGGATATAAGAAATGGATACAAATATTAATGCATGTTGGGGTTTAAAACAGCATGATTATCTAGAAGAAAACAGGAGAATGTTTGACCTTCAGCTGCAAAAACCACCTGTTGGGGAAGTTGCATAAACACAAAAGGACACACTTTAAATCTAGTAAACATAGCAGAAAGGGCAATCTACATTACAACTGTATGTAAGAGAACATTTTGTGCTAACATTACAGGCCCGTAGGCAGCAATTTCAAAAGGGGGGGTCTTTTTCTGAAAAAGTGGACCTTTTCCCATACAAACTTCATGTACCTAGATCAAATTTTACCCAGAATGGACCTTTTCCCAGCAAAAGGGGCGGTTCTTTCGAACCCCCCAACCCCCCCTGGCTACGGGCCTGCATTAAATTGAGGAAGGTGTGGGGAACAGATGTCGCAAAAAATACATTTCAATATTAGACAATGAATACATTGAATACAAATGTACATACATACATGGATATAATATTTATGATCATAATCTCAAAATAAAGTATCAGTGACTATATCTAAAAGACTATTATTTGCTTAAAGTGGTGCTACATGTACATTATTTTCCAACACATTGAAGGATTTCCATCATTCGTAAGAAGTATATATTTTGCCAATTTCATTTCTCAAGGCTCGCTTCATGTCCTGTAAAGTATTTTCAGTATAATAAAAAGCATAGAAAGCAACCTATTTTAAATGATGGTGGAAGTGTAGACATTACCTCTTTAATCTAACAGCTACCCATATCAAAAGGTCAACTGTCGCAACTTTAAATTGTGAAGCAAAATGGCGTTTATAAGGTCCAGATGTTCGGAGACTTGCAAATTCGATACCGACTTCCTTTATTGATCCTCATAGTACCAAATCTGGCCTTCTTGCTGCCAGGCCTACAGACACTTTTCAAAATTGATCCAGTCCCTCCTAACTGAGATTAACTTTCAATCAGGTAAAGAAATATTCGACTGCAGAGCGTTAATTATCGAAGTGCAATGCTTCCATTCCATTCTAACATGTTATTTCAAGTGCAGTGCAGACAGTCAGCATTGATGAGATAATCGTTCGAATTCATCCAAATGGTACCAGACTCTGAGATACCATCTATCATCAGTGTTGACATACCCTGACATTGTAAAACATAGACGACGAAAACAACAACAATTAGCATTTGCAGCGCTGTTGTAATATATGACAAGCTTCTGTAAATTATCAACAATCTCTTTTTGTGCGTGGAGCTCTGACACGGTGTTCGACATTGTTCCAATCAAAAAATTCATTACAAGGACTGCAACCAATAAAATGTATAATATGTGCAAAACCAAAAGTACATGCATTTCTGGTGTGTCAGGGTCTGCTAACGTGGAAACATCAACCAAATTTAGCATGATCATGAAAGTTGAATAAAACGACAGACCAAGGCTACCGAAGTGTTTTTCACAGAAGGGAAGCAGCAGAGTGAAAAACATAAGACTGAATGTCAACACAAAAATACCTAGTAGTAACATGAATTTCGTTAAGTCACCCAACATGCGCTCGAAAACTAATACGTAATACCCTATCTTTGGCAGGAGCTGCATGTAATAGAGAAAAGTCCATGTGTTTAATAACATTATAGCACTCTGCAACATATATTCAAAGTATAACAGCGATAGACCGTAATAATTGAGGAAATAATGCACGAATAGGACAATCATTAGAAGGCTCTTCATAAAAGATACTGCATGCTGTGTAGTCAAGAAAACAATACTTTTTCTGTCCATACAAAATATAATTTTTCTGAAGCCGAACCCCTTCTTTCTTTTCAAAATTAGGCTTGAAATAAACATTTTGAGTTTTTTGCCAACATTTACTACACTTGCAAAAAGAATGGAATTCCAAAAAAGAACGGTCATGATGTCAAGAAAGTAAAAAAAAGGATCTGAAGTTGGATTCTTGCAGTCCAAAGTGGCAACAGTGTCATTGCCCAAGTATGATTCATTTGGCGAGGAAGCATTGTACCGATTGTGTTGAAACATTCGTATTTGAAGCATTTGTGAACGGATGCCCATCACAACCATACAGAAAATTATGCCATGCAGGATCTCACCAAAAACCTCGAAAATCAGATATCTTCTCATCATTTTCCCATAGGTCTGTGTCCAAGCCTTGATGAAAGGGGAACTAAAGAAATATTTAGTTTCATTGTCATCTAACTGGGATTCTTCAAGATATATCAAATGATAAAATGGACTTTTTGAGGAGCGACAACCAGAAGTTTCATGGTAATCTGTGATATCATACCACACTTGTTGTTGCAGTGCTGGAGAGGGCTTGGGGTACATGTAAACTTCTTTTGTGTTGAGAATAGTTGTCATTAGAGGCAGTGTCCCAAGGACTGATGTCAACTCAAGTGGGCGCAACCCAAGGTCGTTCTCCTGAAACAGCAGTTTTCTCATTGTAATGAGTGGTACATGTGATTCCAGAATCTTGTAAATCTGCTGATATTGTTCCATGCGTTCTGGCCACAGTTTACCGGCCCATATCAAAGCGTGAATGATGTTATTACTAGATTCTGATGATTCTAGGTCAATTCCGGCTGATAGCAGTAAGTGGAAACATCGGATAGATCCTCGCATTATGACGATCATCAGAGGAAGGCAAAATGTAGGACACCCATTGCTCAAACTAGGTGCTGGGTCGTGTTGAATGTCAAAGGGAGAATTGATGATGAATCTGTCATTAGTCTGTAAAAGACTGCCTAGTGTCTCATGGTCATCTTGCAGTAAAGCCTGCAAATATGCCTCGTATTCTGGCAATGGCAATGAGCGGTTGTTAGAATTTAAAACGTCCAGGCAACCTGTTTTGTTTGATTGTGTATCCTTACTTGAATGAACTGAACAGCTCATCTCCATGGCTATGGTTTCGTTGGGTGGGTTGTCACACTTTTAAAAACTCTTATNCTCTCTCTCTCTCTCTCTCTCTCTCTATATATATATATATATATATATATGGATGAATTTTGATGGAATTTTCAGGGTTGGTCAGAAATGGGTTAACTTAGAAGTGATTAGTTTTTGGTGGTGATCTGGATCAATAATCAAAAATAAAAAAACTAAGTTATGGACCGATTTTGATGAAATTTTCAGGAACTGTCAGAAGTGGGCCAAGGAACAGATAATTAGTTTTTGGTGATGATCCAGATCAATTATCAATCAATAATCAAAAATCTAAAAACTAAATCATTATAGAATGAGAATTTAGGGGCGAAACAGCATTGGGTGGAGACTTTGCTGCCTTGGCAGAGGTCTGCGCTCTCAGAGTGCTTTTCTAGTTTACTTATGAAATGCTTTTATATATTCTCCTGTATTGTAATCTAATACCCTCACTTACCTATTTGTTGTGCAGTGTGCCACAAAACTGGTTTGAAGCTCAATATCCCACGATCTCTATTTAAAACGGTGGCACCGCCCTTGTTTCGCCATAGACAGGGCAATAAAAAAAACTAACATTGGTCATTTATTTCATTTTTCTAATGTGGTATAAATTAAATAGTCTCCAATTTGCACTCACTCTTAATGGAACCCACGGGATATATAGACATGACATGTGAAGCATGTAATAGAGCTGCTGCTAATGGAAATGTAAAAAATTACATTTAATATTCTGTGAAAGCTAAAGGTACAAATTAATGGCAAAATTTTACCTTCTGCATACTAGTGACAGTAATTGAAAAAAATGACAACCCTTTTTCTTTTTCACAGCAAGATCTCCCCATGTTTGGTCTTTTCAAAGCAGAATGATAGTACAGAATGCTATATAATTCAGCAAGCACATTTTAAACCCTGCCTCAAGAACTGGCACGTGGTTGATCGATTTCTCTTTAAATTACAAGATGCTTTTTTATAACTTCAAAGCCAATTTCATAATAATTAGTATTAGGGCATATATATATATATAGTCTGTGCCCATAGTATATGACTACTGGACCTTCAGTCCACCATAATGGAGGAATAGGCCTTTTGCAGCAAGATGTCACATAGTGATGACTTCTTTTGTTCACTGAAAAGCTTGCTTTCCAGTATGGTGATGTCACATAGTGATGTCATATGGTATCTATAGTCACATGACATTTACCTATTGCTGCTCAGGTGCATTACCCCCTTTGCACGTAGGTTCATGTAAATAGTTCCAAATTGTTGTTAGTTATGAAAAGTTATAAGAATGTAGTGATTATTATAGCAGACAGCATATGTTTATTTTTTATTATTATAGATCCAAATGTGTGGAACATGCCCTTACAAGGCAAGTCTCTCCCAGTAAGGCTGTACGTAAAAGGCAAAGTATTTGACCAGAATGGTGTGCCAAGAGAGTTCCAGCATATATACGACTTTGTCAAATTCCAGCCAAATGACCCTTTCAGTAATGAAGTGTTTCTGGTAAGTTTATTGAAAGTTCTAGGCATGAAAATGTGCGTTATCTTTTTTTTTTCATATTTGGTCAGATGAATAATGATGTTAAAAATGATAGGATGTTTTAGTTTTAAGATTAGAATTTTAGAGTTTTGATTAAGTCATTTGTAAAACAGTTTTTCAAATGATATTTATCAGAGAAAAAGTATATGTAATCTAATTACTGAGAATGAGATTTCTTGACTTAATAAACATTCATAGAATTAAATGTTAGGTTTGCTTTGTCAGTTCTTTTCTTGACAACTAAATGCAAATAATTCAACCTGACGCAGTGTAGACATAATATATTAATTGATGACTGCGTCATCCAGACTCCGCCAGGAATGGTATGCCCAGGAAGAGTTAACACCAGGCCCCTACCTACGCCACCAGACTACTTTCAGTTCTCCATTGAAATTATATCTCCCATTGCTAAGACGTTCACCTATCAAAAGGTACGTGCCTGTCAGCTTAAGGAGTGGATAAAATACTGTCAAGGATAATCAGGGGCGGATCCAGAGTTATTTTCTGACAGTCTTCCAATTTATCTTTATTGATCCATCCTCAATTTCTGACCGTCTTCCGACAGAAAAAAATTAGATACCCGTCAATGTAAACTTGAAAATCTGACCGTCTTCTGGAAGACCCAGAAGACGCCTTAAATCTGCCTTTGATGATGTGCAGCAGTTGTATATAATTTCTTATCCTACCTAGAAGTTTTGCAATTGTTCTGCTCTTTATATTCACAGCTTCAACCCAGATGCCTGCCAGCTGATTAGTTCTCAGATCTCTATGATATGAGCAAACTTACAAATTCCAAGAAAGCGGCTCACACTAATTCTTTATTAGCACCAAAATATAGAATAAAAGAAATGTGTTTCTAAAAAAAATGTTAGTAAGCAATTTGTAGAAAGAAGGTGAAGGTTCCCTTGAAGAGATGTCAAGACATACTACTATACTTGGTTTAATTACTACCCTTATAATAGGCAATCAACATAATCAGACTTCTCAATACATATTTATGTAATAATATTAATTTTTTTCCATCATACAGGAGTGGTATGATTTTAGGAGCAACCTTGTTCGCTATGACTACAGACCTCTCAGTCTGGATTTGATCCAGCAGTTTGGATTCAACCCATTGAGTGAAGTGCATGACTTCAACACAGGTACCGTATGAATATTCCTGATTTTATCTCTTGCCTTTTCATAAAAAAAATTGAAATTAGGATTAGTAACATTTGCACAATTTAGAAAAGATGGGAATTTGTGGTAAATTTTATTAACAATGTCCGTAATGTCTGTCATTATCAATCATTGTTTAGTTAATTACTCTACTTAACAAATCTTAATTAACTACTCAGAAGATATGGGGATTAAGATTGTAAGTACCACTGAACAATTCAGTTTGTTGTACACAGAGAAAACTCAAAAGTAAGTTGATAAGCATATCAGTTATGCTCTTTTGTTATTGTTTTCTGAATTGCCATTTCATTGTTTTTTTTTCTTTTTTTTGTGTGTGTCAAGGCGTGAGGTATGTGATAGACACATTCCAAGGTAACTGCTCCTACTTCCCACTCCAAACAGTTGGCCTTGACATTACCAAGGTCAGTCCCACTGAAGTACGGATCCGGACGCCTCAGGAGTTCTTCAACTATAACAATGTCTCAGTGCCCTATACCTACACTGGAGTGGTAAGTTCAAAAACAAATCATTTTCATGGACATTTTGAACAAGGGATATAAAATTTGTATATAAAATTTTGTCAGTTTGTTTGTGCATTAAATTGTGACCTTTATTATGCTGAAAAGAAAGCTTTGATCGTTAAAGAAGGCAGGAAATTTTGCCTATTCTGGTGCTGATCTGGTATTGAAAAGTGCTGAATATTTTGCTGAATTTTAGTGCATAATCATTAAACTCTTTATTCTAAAATTGTATAATGCACAAAATGAATTCATCAATTATATATACTTTAGATGATAACATAAAGATTGTTCTGTCACCAGAGAAAAGTTCGTGACATTCCAGCAGATGTGTGGATTGCTCAGAGGAAAGGATATCCTGGGATCTGTGATGACTGCACCACTGTGTGGGAGTGGTATTTTGCTGTTGTAAGTTATGACAGATCTTCTTTATCTGGTGATATTCAGAATAGTAAGGATCCTGGTGTCATCCTGACAATATTTTGTTTCTGCTTTAGAACTTATTTTTGACCAAAAAAAATGATAAGTTGTTAAAATTGTTTTTTTTTTTAAATCGGAATTGTCTCTAGCATTTTTAACACAGGCTTTGCTAGTATGAGCCTTTAGATTAGTGACACCTTAAAAGATTGTTTGTAATGTAGAAGGAATTTATGTAATAGAAAATAGTATGCATGTAAATTTGCATCCAATGGAGGTAAGATGACAGCAAGAATATGGTGGCAAAACATATCAACATCTCTCATTAGAACATTGAAGTCAAGGTCTAATAAAAAATAGAAAATTCATTTTTTCCAAAAGTTGTAGTTGTTATTTATTCATGCTGCTCTTACACAAAGAATGATCATATAGATGCTGTCTTCTCACCTGGATATTGTTTAATATTTGATATTTAATTTTCAGTCCAACTGGACCCAGTACAGTGGGATGGTCAGGGAAGGAGGTGAGCCGATCAGGTTGGAGGTGACCATCAAGCAGAACCAATTCAAACCAGATGTAAGTAAACTATGGTTATAATGTATTGTGTTGTGTTGTGTTGTGTTGTGTTGCATTGCATTGCATTGCATTTTTGGGTCTTGGACTCCCTGTAAATCAGTGACCAAATTAAAGATTCACAATTTGGACTCCCTGTATCTCAAATCCTGGGGAAACCCTTAATTGTATTGTGTTGTGTTGTGTTGTGTTGTGTTGTATTGTATTGTAGAATTGAGGTTAGAATTGAATGTTTTTAAATATAGATTTCAGAATCTGTTAGATATAACATAACATCGAGGGTATAAGCCTTGTGATGTCTGAATAAGAATATTATTTCATATTTTATACATTCTAATTCACAGACTGATGTCCATCTGATTTACAATGTGATGGACTTTGACGAGAGTGAGCCACAACTTTGGACCTTTGACATTGGAGCTTGCTATGAAACACTAAGCAAAGTTTATTTCAAGATAGAATTCCCAGGTGGGCAAAATTTAAATGGTAGAACATTGAATTTTTACGTGTTGGCATATTTCAGTTTTACCATGAAAGATGATTTATATAGATAAGTATTTTTCATTATTAATTGCCAATTTACCATTGATTTGATGGTAGATTTGATAGATAAGCTACAAAAAAAAAAAAAAAAAAAAAAAAAAAAAAAAAAAAAAAAAAAAAAAAAAAAAGGTTTTGGTGTACAGTTTTGCATATGAATCAAATCAACCCAGTTTTTCACATGGCCCAGTTTTAACATTCAAATGGTGGATAAAATCACTATCTATAAATAATATATTTATTATATTTGTAGAAAAAACGATAACAAAAACTGAATATATTGTTTTTTCTTACTCCAGGTGATTACAAGACCCTTGTCTATGGTTCCAACCTGATAAACTTCAAATATGCCCTTTTGCTCACCATCCAAGGGTTTGCTGTGGTCTCACCACTCAGAATAAACAATTTGGAGGTAATATATATTATTTTTTTAGATGATAGTGCATTTGAACCTATTTGTTCTACTGCAATGACAATTTTAGAGGGTAATATCTAAATTAAATATGCATAGCAAAATGATAAAAGGTTTTACATTTTATTCTGGATCTTTTAGTTTGTTGTTTTTGAGGCCAGATGAGATCTTTGTGAAGGGTCATGATGTTTAAATTCCACAAAAAAAGTGCATACTAGTGGATATATATGTTTTGTATGTTATTAATCAATATGTGGGTACGGCATCTGTGTCTGATATAAAAACATTTTGGTGCTTTAGATTTATTCATGTTTTGTCAGCATTCCCCAATTTTACATTACATATGTATGTTTTGAAGTGTCAGGACTAAAAAAGAATTATGTCAACTCTAATACTGTACAATGATAAGCTCATTGTGAAGATGGTAATGTGAAACAGTTTTAACTCTATAGTCAGCACTAGACATCCCCTCAGTTTCCTTAGCTGCTGAAGACCCATGGGCTTGTGCTTGAATTTTATTTTTGAGGGGAATTTCTACTGAAGCTACAGAGACTGAGTGTGTTTAAATGTAACTCCCCCTTTTACAACCCCATAAATTGAAATATACGCACTTTTGTTTAGAAATTATATATTAAAATGCAAATTTTCAGGTCTAAGCATTACTTAAATGTTATAACTCAACATTAATCGATGTTATCTACTAAGTTATGTCATTTTTTAATTAGAGGGACCTTACAATAAATGTGGCTGTGATTGGCCAAATTTTGACCATCTTATTTGTGTTAGTCCTAGTCATATTTATAATTTGGAGTGTGAACGAGGAGACATGAACTGCCCTTTAATCTTACATTATACTGTCCTACTTAGGTCCACTACAACTACAAAACCATAGTGGCCACCTTCACTCTACTGGACAAGGCTCCCATAAAGGGCGATGTGAAGATGAGTGTTGATGAGGTAGACCTGGACGTAGCTGTACAGAACATAGTCCAAGCAGTGGCCAAAGGGCAGTTCTTTGTTCCAGTGGACATCGACACTGTGGCCAATGTAAGTCAATAATGGTAATTACTACTATCTTTTCAATGGAGAAAAAATGTGAATTTTACAGATACTTTATTTTTGAGGCATAGTCTCTTAAATTTACATTCCTCTCGAGTGGTAGCAACAAAATAAAAAAAGCAGGCTACCTTAAAGTACAATTCTATGCAGTAAAAGCACCACAAATGCTAAATAGAAATATAATTTTGTGATTATAAAAATATGAATCAGAAAGTTTGATTATTTTTGGCCATTGAAAAGATCAAGGAATTATGGTCTGTACTTGGGGTTCATATCCTTTGACAACTTCTTTCCACAGATAAAGCAATGCAGCTGTCTAAAGACGTTGCTCCAATACAGAAATAAAAGGAATTTAGCCCCTGATGAAATAATGTCCTAACTTTTTATTCCATACAGCAGTACAACCTGTCCTGTATGAAGTTAAATGAAGTTAAAATTATATTGTGAATACCTCAAAGATAGGGAAGCAAATAAACATAAGATAAAAATGACTTTTATGGATATAAAAAGTTTATTACGCTTAGTGATGCTGAACAAATAGAATCAGGATTATAGCCATGGTAGTTATATATTGTTTTACCTGAACCTTGATATTAAATGCTTCTTTTAAGGATATTATGAAAAAACGGTCCATCTTGAATATATTATTATTATTATTATTATTATTATTATTATTATTATTATTATTGTTATTATTATTTTACAGGTGGTTTAAATATTTTCTTTTTTGTTATAGAGCTTCAATCTGTTTGCCTTACAAGATAAGTTGGTTGTTATACCTAGATATGCCAAGGGGTCCAAGCCCTCCACTGCTGGTAAGTTTCCTTAGAGTTCACTATTCAAATGTAAAAGTTGGGCATTTAAGACAAATGATATTTTATGGTGAGGTCAAAATCACCTTTTAAAATACCTGAACATATGGCATGCACATTGGACATATTCTTTTCATTACTTCTTGGGGGAGGGGGAGGACAAGTTATTGGATGTTGATGTTATTTAAAGGGAGGTCACTATAACTTGACTTCACTCCTCCCAAACCAGGCAGGACACATTGTGATGGAGTAAAGTTCAGCAGAACAAGTTTTTTACTTTTAAGCACTGAATGAAATTGGTGTGAGTTAATTCATTGCTTAACAGAAGACATATGTAGACATTAACTCATGCTTTAGCATACAGACAAATATTTAGCCATATAGTCATGTTACAGGATCTATTGACAGATTAATTTAATATTTTGGAATTGTGTCAGGCATGACAATGTATTTATGAGTATAGGAAGAAAGGCAGTGATTTAAAATGTTTGATTTTCTGTATAGTTTTGTCAAAATTTAATAGAGATATTTAAGAAGATTCAGATTGCGTAAGTCTTTCATTTTTCAATTTTTTAGGTCCTGATCTTAGTGTTTGTGATCCTTCAAAAATTTACAATACACCAGGTAAGTTTGGCTGGTTTTAAGTCACAGAGAATGAATTTCTTTTAATTGATAAAGCCTTTAATCAGTGTATTATTTCATAAATTAGTTTCCAAAGTGGGGTTAAGAAATTCAGTTCAGTTCAGATAGTTTAAAAGAAATGAATTGTTGGTCAAGGAACTATTGGACATATATATTTACATTTCATCATATTTTTTCCAAATTTTACCTTTCTTGAAAATTCACTTTAAAAATTCCACTTTGATGGAGTACAATTGTTTACTGTGGTATGTTAAAATTGCATATACTTTTAGGTGTTTAAGTGAAAATAATTTTAAAATTTTAAAATAATTTTAGCTTATTGCAAAAAGCACTGAGATGCACCAGGTCCTGGTACTTCAAGAAATATTGCAATAAAATGACAATTGCTATTATATCATTTTCAAAACTTTCAGGCCCATCATTGCCTGTGCTGCCAGATAAATTTTACACATCTGTCCAGTGCAATCTATTCAACAAGAACAAGACGGTAGAGGTAGACGTGTGGTACGACTTCCAAGGCAACAGAGCCGCCATGGCCGAGTACGAGTACGATGACAAGCTGCTGCTTATCTACAACTATGCAGATGATGAGATCATTGAAATAATCACAAAAGAAGGTCAGTGTATTTGTAATACGTAATAAGTACACCATGAGTTAGGGTGGTGTATGTTATATATGTACACAATTAGTATGAACCATGACCCATGCTGACATAATGGTGTGTCTGAACATAAGACATACACCCCATTTCCATAGATTAGAACGACCTACTTTAGATCGACCTAACTCCCTGGGGGTTCACGCTAAATAGCTGTCAGCCGGGCGGACACGAAAGTTAATTACCTGCTTACAGCTTGTAGTAGGCGGGACGGACATTTAAGTCGGATTATCTGAAAGTAATCTAGTGAGACTCCCCGCGGGGATAGATCGATCTAAAATCTATGGGAATAAAGCCATAGTGTAACTTGCATTTATGTGTGACATCCATGTAAGGATACATTCCCAATGAAACTTTCATCCTACAAAGATCGATCCAACTCCATGGTGACTCTTGCTGAATGGAAGCTTTTTCACTTAGTTTTGTGTTACCAAATGCATGCGAAAGTTAGTCACCCCCTAGCAGCTCAAGGAGATGTACCTGTCATTCAGTTTATTTGATTTCCCTTTAGATATAACACATTTGGGTCTTTTGTTCTCAACATATGGTGTGGTATAATATTTTTTTTTCATGTAAAATAATACTAAAGCAAGATTTTCAAAAACTATCAAGTAACTTTATGAGATGAAGATCTTTTAGAAACCTGAGTCTGACTATTTTGATTAAATTTGTAAATTTTCATCTATTATTTCATGAATATTTTCATGAACATTCTAGTTAAAAAAACAACTAAAAATGTTGTCAGTAGAGAGCATAAGTCATGTACTGCAAATCATTGCTATTCAAAATTCCATGCCCTCTTAAACTCAAATCTTTCAGGTAATTCAGCTAAGAAAACATTCATGTAAATTTTCTCTCCTTATTTACAACTATCAAACACCAACATTTCAGATAACCTATGCTCGGTCGAGAAAATCAGCACGTCCCAGTCGAGGCTCCTCTTTGGTTATAACACCACCAGTGGCAAAGCACACATCAATAACCCCTATGCAGTCTTTGCCTTTGGTGGAGATATGCAGGAGATGTATATGGGGAAGACTGTGGTGAGGGGAATGAAGACGGATCACTGGCATGGGTGCACATACAACCCCTATTCCAAGTACACTCTTAGTGTGGATGCATACTTTTCAGGTAAACAAGGCTTTTGCCTAAGAGCCATCCAAGGCCCCATAACTTGAAAGCGTCTCAATTCCATAACTTGCCCATACTCACCCCATATAATACATTGTAGCCTCTAATTGATATTGCTATTCACAAAATGCGATGCTTACAAGTTATGGGGGCCAATTAAGACAGCCATTAGCATCAAAAGATGGTCTATGTTTTCAAAGACAGCTGTTCAGCTTTTGAAATTTCGGGGTTGAGTGGTTGGGCTTGCTTTGGTTGGACTGCCTGTAAACTGATGACCAAATTACAGATTTACATTTTGGATTCCCTCTGCCCCAAATCATGGGGAAACCCCTGCATGTAAATATGGGTGTATTTATAATTAGTAGCCTCTAATTTGGCTATGCTGCCCACATTCAGCAGGTGTCATATATCTATTTTTGATAGGATAATGACGGATTTAGATATTTTTGATACTAATTAAAGCATATCTCTTATTTGGAATCAAGTAATGTTTCTCAGTATGAATGTAGAAAGGTAACTTTTGTGAGTATTTCAGTGCCAATATTAAATTTGTGCAAAAGCTGTTAATTTTTGTTGATTTTAGAATATTGCTAAATTATGAAAAAAGCAAAAAAAAAAAAATTTTGATATGCCAGCAAGTAATGGACACTGTAGACATTATATTTTGGAGAATTTTATTTTAAGAGACAGTTTCAGTAGATATTAAACATCACTTTTCAAGTGTTAATGAATTCATATATCATGTGTTACAGACATTGCCAACTGGCAAACTCCTCTAGGCCCTGCCGTACCAGTACGTCTGTATATGCAAGGATCAGATCAGAGTGGACCCACACCACGCTACTTTGAACACACATACGACTTCTCCAATTTTAAGCCGGCAACAGACTTCCCGTTTGGTGATGAGCCATTCCAGGTACATATAACTGACTGGAGCAGAGCAAGATGTTATGTTTGAGTTTGCCAACGTGTGTGTGTGTGTGTGTGTGTGTGTGTGTGTGTGTGTGTGTGTGTGTGTGTGTGTGTGTTTGTGTTGTCGTAATAGTGTACCTTGACATCCAAAATGTCGTAAAGTTGATGTGCTTGTTATAGCTGAGTGTCTTAAGTGTCAGGGTTAATCAGTTTCAGACAATAAATCAATTCAAGTGCACCAATAATTAGGGACATTCAGTAAAAAAATGTACACCACTCTCCCTTTAGGTATCCAAGGGAGCAATTTATCCAGGAATAGTGCCTTAAGTTTCATTTATCTCTGGGGTAAATCAGTTTCAGACATTTTATTAATTCATGTACAGTAAGAATTAGGGATTTAATGAAAATTCAATGTACACCTCTCTCTTTCTAGGTACCAAAGGGAACAATTTGTCCAGGAAGAGTGAACAACAAGCAGTTTCCACCACTGCCAAACTACTTTAGTTTCACATCAGAGGTGGTTGCTCCAGAGTCAAATACTACAAGTTTTCTTTACGTAAGTACTAGGAACTGATAACAGTGGATAAAAGTGCACATAAACAGATATGATCTGTAAAGTTATTTCCTACATATTATTACATTTAATGCCATGTGTTTATTATATTTCTGTGTGATGCTGCTTGTTTTGTGAGTTGCATGGATTTCATGTGACGTGTGGTAAAATATCTTTTCTAACAGAAACCACAAAAGTGTAATAAAAAAAAAAAACAGTTACTTTTATTCTTCAAACACATTCCATTTATGAGCCTAATACATATATATATAGCAATTTGGTAGGGATAATTAATATCTAAAATGTTTGAGAAAACTTCAGTTGTTTTGATTAATTCCATAGCTATACAAGTATTAGTGGCATTGGCAGTGATTTTTCTTTAATGCTAAATTGCAATATAAGACTTAGTTCTAGATTTGATAGAAGTGAAAATGTTTTCATTTCAGCAAGCTTATGACTATGGTGCCCGTTTGGTGCGTTACGACTACCGCGCTCTCCCTGGTGATGGGAATCCCTTTGGTAACAATCCACTATCAGAGGTCCATGATTTTAATACTGGTAAATGTAATTTTTATACATAGTTTGCCCCCCCCCCACCCACACACACACACACACTTTACAGAGAGAGAGAAGAGAGAGAGAGAGAGAGAGAGAGGAGGAGAGGAGAAGAATAAAGGGAAAAGAGAGAGAGAGAGAG